TGGATTCCTAGCTGTTTCTGGTTATACTGATAACCTGTGAATTATAACTCTTTTTTCTTCTCTGAAGCTACTCAGTTTTGTGAACAAATACCCTGTAAAGGACTTTTCATCTGCATACCTCGCAGAAGTACCATTCTCCTCACTTTGGTGTAACAGGTATTTTAATCCCTTTGACCTCAGTTAACATGGGAAACGTCACCTCTAAATTCAGTAATTTCTAGGGAGATTTTGCGAAGATTAGCTGGCTGAGGTACCACGGCGGTGACGGTATCTTGTACTTGCTTACTTATCTGATATTTCTAATTGAAAAGATAATGAAGTATACTTGTAGCGGAATACTTTAGGGCGCCCTCCTGTATTTTGCTGAATGCCCTTGCTTTTCACCCAGGTTGGGACATGCAGCAAAGGCGTTCAAAGACAAGTGCTTTTGCAGAATCCCCTCACAGCCTGGTGCTTGTACCTTCAGTGGCCGCAGGAGAAGCTCTCAATGAATGTAGGCTTAGAGGAGGTGTCATTAAACCTATTTTAGATAGGGAAAGCAAAGACTCCAGGCTAGTGAATAACTTGGATCTCTTGACTCCATATGATAACTCTAAGACTAGTTGCCGAAATGGGCTGCACCGTGCTTTCTGTACAGGATTCTCTTACAGTAGGCAAAACCTGTTTCAGAGTTAAATTTTATGCAAAACTCCCCCACCTATCCCCTTAATTCTGGTTGTTGAAAAAGATACATTCTCTCATTCATGCAGATCAGATCTGTTCGATACTTGAGCTTTGTCGAAGAGCACTGGGAAGACTCCTTGCCAAAAACTTCAGTTCTACTCTCAGTTGCAGAACTGTCTTTTACTGTTGTTGAAATTATTAACTTTGATGTTGGTGGCAGGGCTTGACTTGGAGAGTGTTAAGCTGTTGCTTCAGGAACACGTGGAATTTTGTACTTTGTGAGGATGTAAAAGTAAAGATCTTTCAGTACTTTGCGGTTTTAGGAACTGGAGTACAGATATTGATTCGATTTAAATTTGGCTATTTATTTGGATCGACATTTAGATTTAGTGGGTGTTTTTGAGGGGTGAAAGTTTGGTGCCATGGGTCTAAGCGGGAAGGACATGATAAAGAAATGCATTCTGAAAGATAAATTTGAAGGAGAAGGAAGGGGCTTGGAGCATGCAGGAGGCTAGAGGCTTGTTGAGCATGGGACTCGAGTGTGGAATACCTTGGAAGGAGCAGCCAGAGGGAATGGGGTATGCTGAAGAGCCTCAGGAGTGAAGTGGTTTTGATCGTAGTACATAAGAGCGTGTGATCCAGAGGAGCTCAGTGAACTTGAAATCATTGTCTTCCCTCCCATAATAACAACTGTGATGTTGCTTTAGAACTTGCAAGGAACACCGGTGATCTGGTGTGTACATCCTGTGGGTATGGGCCATTTTAAAATGCATATGGCATGGCAGATAAAAGGCCAGATAAGTGGTTTAGGAGAAGAAAATATCTGGCAAACAAGTGCTTCAGCACTTAAAACCTGCATCCACTGTAGCTGTTGGTACTTGGTTATTGGAGAGGAATCCTACCAGCTTGTGCCAGTTTGGGCTCTGTAGTTTTGGAACCAAAGTTACTGCTTCAGGCTAAAGACCTGCCTTGATGGATGTTCAAAGTCTGCGTTAGCATGAAAGTGAAGTTATTTAGCTAGGGAGTAGTGAGAGGGCTGTTTTGGGGTTTTGTGCTGCATCTTTTATTTAATTTCCTGAAATCCTTAGGCTCAGTCTTTTGTCAGAGCTGAGTTGAGTTGCATTTTTTTTTTTTTTTGATGTAGAGGTTGAAGCACTGATTTCTGGCAATGTCAGCGTTCAAGCCAACTGTTCTGTCTCTTTAAAATTGCCATGTAAAACTGAGTAAGTCCAGATTGCTGCCTCCAGTACCTGTTACCCAAGACATAGCGAACCATTTACTCCAGCTGCAGAATTCTGCATTGCTTGCTGGACTGCATATGGGCTTGCTCTTTCTCACTGCCTTTTTGTGAAATAGGTTGCAAGGGTGTATCTAAAACTGGAGGAGATCTTACGGATGCTTCAGCTGGCTTGAGTCTTACCACCCCTATCAGATACATGTTCACATCAGAGCTTATGTATTTACAAAACATAAAGCCCAAACTGATGATGAGAGCTGCTTTCTCTCCACACCCTTTACAGGCCAAATCTGGAGAGGGGAAAAAAAAATAAAATCCTTTCTCGGGGGGGAGGGGGGGGTGTGTGTGCGTGTGTGTATGTGCTGCAGTCTCCTTAGGGCTGCCTGTCAAACAAGCCAGCTAATGCATCACTGCCTTTGGAATAAACTGCTACGTCACTGATAGCACTTGGCATGTTACAGTGCTGGGATCAATGCAGGCTCCTAGCTGCGATGTGCGTCAGGTATGTGTCTGTAACGAATGCTTTTTTTCTTGGAGGCTAGAGCAGCAGAGAACTGCGCAGGCTTTCCTTTTGTCTAACAGCAGGCCTAGGCTCTAAAGAGGGGGATGGTTTTCATATGATATTTGCCATTTGGGTTCTGAGTAGTATTATGTTTAGGAAATGAGCTTTGTAGAGTGTGTGCGTGTTTGATGGTAAGTATTATATCCGAATGACACATCCTTGTGTAGCGTATCTTTGTAGGGATGTTGCAGCAAATCGTGTCCATTGATTTCATAGCAGTGAATTCAGCTGGTAGAAGGCATGATGAATATTTTTAACCAATGCTGAAGCTGCTCCTCGAACATCAAGATGTGTGTACATGTAGGATTTGTTTCCTTGCAGCTACAGTGGTCAGAAACTGTTTGGACTGGGGGCTGTAAGTGGGGTTTTTTTGGAGCACAGGCAAATATTTAGAAAATGGTTTTCACAAAACCTGGAAAATAAAATTCCAGTTATGCTGTGTATAAATTTTAATCTCAAATCAGGACCAAAAACTGAGGAAATACAATGGAACCATAGATTGTGCAAGTATTTTGTTCTGAAAATGACAGAATATACCATTTACTACATGAAATACATATCCAGTAGGGTCACTGAATGTTGGATTTTGTCAGTCTTACGTAGTGATGACCAGAAGAGAAAGTGATACAGATTTTATCGACCAGAGTCTGTAGGTTCACAGTTCTCTACCGTTACGATGGCTTGTTTGGAAGTGGTGAAATGGTGGGTTTGTGGTAGCCTCCCTGCAGAGGTGAAGGGAAGCAGGAGCCTGGAGAACCTGGGAGAGCAGACTTCCACGCTGGAGTCGTGCGTGCCAGGGTGTGGGAGGCAGGGACCCCCAGTTTGCTCTGGCGAGCTGGGAGGGGGATCTGTACCACATTGGGGTAAGTGGTGTGGCAGGAGGCCTCTCAAGATGGAGCCAGTGCTGGAAAATATTTCAAGATGAGTTGCTTTTTTTTACATATTTCCATTTTAAAATGAATTAAAAGGGAAATTTCTGGTGTACTTCATAATTGGGTAGTTTGAGTAGCTCTTCAAAGAGGAGCAAAGGCTGACAGGTGAGAGAGGCGTTTAGTTATTAGGTAGATATATAATGTTGGGGTTTTTTAGTTTGTTTAAAGTCTCTTCTTTCCCTGGTATCTCTTATCTCTGCTGTGTGGTGACGACTTCTGTGCCTGCCTTCTCCCCTGCCACAGTGTGTCACTGTCCCCTTTACCCTGCTGCTGGCAATGCTTGAAGAAACTGGATCTGCACAGAATTGTTTGCCTGCACTTTATCAGACACATGGCACTTGCTGTCGGTTGTCGCTCCTGTCGCCTGAACTGTTCTTAGTTCCCTGTCTCCTGCAGTGACCTCACCTCGCCCTTCAGGGCTCAAGGTTGCGTGCTGTCATCGTGTTCATGGGGCTCTTTTCCTCCGGGTACTTGTTTCTTTTTTTTTGTGTGATCCCCTCCTGAGTCATTGCATGGCTTTTGCTCGGACTCTTGGAATAAATGTGTGCATCAGGTAAAAGCTGTGCTACCTGGATATGGCCCTACACCAGGACAGACCTAAGCATCGTGAAATTTAAAAATGTAATCCAGGTGCTGTGTCTAGTTCCAGTCCAGGTTCAATCATCACTGCGCTGCTGCATCCATTGCCCTTGCTTATCCTTTCCCTGCCCCCAAATTTGCAATGTTTTTGTGTGTGCTTGACACCGAGTAAACGTTCTTCTTTCCTCCAGTGATGTTACTGGACCCAGCAGTAGCGTAGCACTTTGCTTGTGAGGACATTTATTCTTAGAGCACTTGGAGTGATCTCATCTCCATTTTATAGGTGGAGAAACGGAGGCACAGAAAAATTAAGTGACTTGGCCAGGGTCTCCCAGCTTCCAGGCTGGTGTCCAGTGCGATCTGTTGTTTCATGTCTGGATCACCACTGTGCTCTGTGAGTCTATACAAACGGTGCCTCTGGCTTTCTTCTCTGTAGCCCTGGAAATGCTTTCACTGTCACCTCCCCACCCCTCCTGAGAATCTGATCTGAAATCCTACATGTTAATTGAATTCTTTGGGCAAATTGGCCCCTGTAGTTGCTCTGGATGCTGACGGAGCGCATGGGGAAGCTGTGCGGTCTCCGCTTCCTTGCGAGACCCCGGTTGCGGGGAGCGTGAACTGGGGCTGCCCATCGCTGCGAACACCCCCGGCGCATCGCGTGGGCTGCAGCGGCGGAGCTGTGTGTTAAGCCTGATTACGTAAGCTGTAGATCATTTTCTCTCTTTCCTGATCAGCTGCTTTCCTCTGAATGCAGAAGAGGGAAGCTGCTACCCTCTCTGTGCATGCTGCGTCACAGAAAGAGTGACGGAGAGAGAGGGGTGGTGGAAGGCAAGGGACAAAGGTTAAAAGATTGAAGCAATCTGGGAAGTGGTGGTGCTTCAAGGAGAACCGCGTGAGTGCAAGAGGCTTTTTCCAGCTTTCTCCTGCTGGGTTTTGAGCTGCAGTGTTGAAAAAATAAGATAACGGCGGCTACACTAGAGGAGTCATAAGCAAGCCTGAAATCTCTTAATTCCTTCACTGAGACAGCATGGAGGATTCTGCAGAGCAGAGTCAGGAAATGAGATATCACATGCTGCAAAGGTAAGAATTGCAGATATGATCATCTCCTCATAGCAGCAGCTGTCTTGGACTGAGGCAGTTGGGCACTCTACTGTAAAATGCATCCTGATATTTTTACATGTTAATTTTATCCTCTGAAACCTCGCTAGTTACTGTGAGGTATCTCTGCATGCAGTGTGTAGGAAAGATGCTCGAATACATCTTACTTGGGGAATCAGTGTTAAAAAAGTTTCAGATTCTGCACAATTTCTAACCTCTATAAACTCTGAAAGGTAGATGAGCGTTCTGAAAGTTCCTGTGTAACAAAACACTGCAGTTGTGACCTGGTGATTAATATTTTTGTTGCGACTGCTCTCCGTAAACCTGCAATGAATAAACCTATCTCACTTGTTGGACTGGGCTCCTTCCTTGCCATGCCATAGATTCTAACCCTCTTTAAATACACAAATTTAGTAGAAATTCAACCTTAACTATACCTTGCCTCTTTTTCTTTCCTGTTGACTCCTGTCCTTAGAATTCCTAGGCTGAGATTATCACAGAGCAGTTTGTGAACTCTTGCTCATAGGGACAAGTTTTAAATTCAGTGACAATGTCTGTCTCTGAAAGCGCACCTTGCTGGAAGAAGGGAAGGTACACAGGGGGAAAAACTTCTGCATACTTGTTCTTGTGCCTTTTTCTGGATATCAGGTAGCAGCTCTTCTTTGCGACAAGTTACTAGACTGGATGCACTTTGGTCTGACTGTTTATATGTCCCAGAATATTGCTGCGAGATAGGCATCTGGATTTTTAGCATGCTTTAAAATCACCCTAATGATCTTGTTTTTCCTGTTGCCTTTACTTTTCCCACTCTTGGCTTCATGGATTGCATCCAGGTCTCTTTGACTGTGCTTAGAACAAGTTTTCACCTCCCAGTTAAGCTCAACATATGCAAGACTGTAACTTGAAGTTCTCGACCAGCATGACCATTTGTCATGGGAATATCTCACGTGTGGGAGAGAAAGATTGATGTGTTAACGCAGAACGCAGGGTCTGAATTTCAAGCACTGTGGATATGCTTTCTTGCTGTTCTGGAAATCCTCACAAAGTCAGGGTTGTGCCACAGTAAGATGTCACAGCCAAAGTAAATGGTGTGCTTCAAGGTAGAGAGGAAGGGAAGGATCCAGTCCATCCTATGTGTGGTAGATAAACGTGACTTCATGGTCAGATCTGGGCACCGATCACCTTTCGTTCTAGTACAGTTCTTGGTTGGTTATACCAGGATTTGGCATATACCTTTTTGAATAGGTTGTGTTAGATGATGTGAGTCTAGATTCTTTTTGTTAATGTGTACCACAAAGCACAGCATAGTCTGTGTTAGCATCATGATTGCTCATAGGAAAGGTGGGTAAGAGAAGAATCTGGATTTAAACCAGATACTAGCTACAGTTTGTTCAGGGCTTCTTTCATCCGCAAATTTTTCAGTCAAAGTGCTGATCTGTGGTGTTACTGTGCTCCTGATGAAGAGTTAAAGAGGGTCTGCATTCCCGATGAGTAAATCTTCATAGGCAATAACGTATTTATGAGGGAATGTGAGGGGGAATGTGTGTGTGTTTCCTCTTAGGCTGTCACCAAGCACCTCTTACAGCAGCTCGCTCAAGCCAGGATGCTCCAAACCTCTCGTGTGGCAGTGAACCTCACAGGTACAGCTCTCGGGCTACCCGACCTTGCTGGCTGTGTTTATAGGAGACCTCTAGATGCTGTACATGACTTGGCTTGTCCTTCTGTTAGTTCTCCCTTCATGTACCCTCCAAGAGATTCCTGTTGCTTTCTACCACATCCTATCCCATTTCCCAGTGGAGTTGCTCAATGGTAGCAGCACTTCGGCAGCTGATTAGGCCAGAGGTTCCTGATGGGTTTCCCGTGGCTGAAGGGCAACCAGCAGGGCTTGGGTGGCTCCTGGGGGCAGATGCTGCCAGTCACACAGCTGCTCCGATGGCACTGACCCCCTTGGTTGCTGTTGGGTCTTTCCAAAGCATTGAGTAGTTTTATTAATACCTTCCCAATATTAATCTCTTCTTCCTACAGAAAGGTTCTGTAATCCTGCATGGTGGCAGGGGTAAGGACTTCAGTGTGTTTGTGGGAAAGGAATCTGTTAAGAAAAGCACAGTAAATACAGTAAGAAAAATGGGTAAACTGTGGGGTGAGCTGAGAGTCTGATCTTAGTAGCTTGTTTTTCCAAAGCCAGAAAACATTGTTGTTGTTTTCCAGCTTTCATAGATGAATTGAAAGCAATGTCATGGAGCATTGTTGTTCTGTGTTGGGCAGTGATATACAGTGAATGTATTTTTACCTATTCATATATTAGCATAACCAGAATTTCTCCACATAACCTGGCTTTTGCGGATTAGTAACTGAAAGGTAGTTAAACAGAGTCATACCTGTAAAAGCTGAGGACCAGACCACGGTGGTCTGGAGGCAAGGTGTGATTCTGCTTCTCTACTTGGGGAACATGGTCAAGGGGAACTTTACAAATTATTCAGGTATCCTCTTCTATTTGTGTACATCTGCACTGCAAAGTTGCTTTTTTCTGTCTCCTACAAATTTCCTTAGGCCGAGTATGTCTGGTTTACACCTTGTAAAGCAAGGCCGGGACAGGAAGAAAGTTGATGTGCAGCGGGATTTCACTGTGGCTTCTCCAGCAGAATTCGTTACTCGTTTTGGAGGGAATAAAGTTATTGAAAAGGTGAGGTACTGACCTTTTCGACTTTAGTTCCTTGAATTTTCTGTGCAATAGAAAATTAGTCTGTTGCATTTAGTCTGTGGCATCTATTGCATTAGCCCTTCTCTTGAGCTATGACTTCTCTCTATAAGGCTGTACATTGCAGATATCAAAATGTTCATATTCATATTTGAAAGTTGTACTTCTGCCTGTAATCATTGTGTTTCCATTTTATTTTACACATGATAAATATACGTTCCATTGTTTTAGCTTAGTGTGACAGGAAAAAAGATTTGAGTGAGCTAGAGCACTTCTGCTGATACGGAAGGATTTATAGACAGATATAACAAAAGTAGACTGGAAAAAACACTAAGAAATGTATTTAAAAGTACATAATCATTTAATGGATGAGGTCTCTTCCTTTCAGGTATTGAAAGTTTTAGCCGCTCATTATGCCTATTCTCATGTGTCCTTCTGCTCTTTAATCCACACAAAGCATAATACATTAAAATCTTTATGGTCGAGCAAGAGCTGATTTCTAAATTGACTGATGGGCCACTTAATGTTCTTGCTGAATTAAATGCTGACTGATGAAACTGCACAGCCCCAAAACTGGATGAAGAGTCTGCAGAGAAAAAAATGATTTCATTATCGTGTGGTGTTTTGTGCTGTTTAGACTCTCTTTCATCACTGCTTCTAATATACTCAGGTCCTGATAGCAAATAATGGCATTGCAGCAGTGAAATGCATGAGATCCATCCGACGCTGGTCCTATGAGATGTTTCGAAATGAGCGGGCGATCAGATTTGTTGTCATGGTGACTCCCGAGGATCTGAAAGCAAATGCAGGTGAGCTATAAAGACTATTGAAGGTGCACAGCCTTCTCCTTGCACAGACCTGTGTGCCC